TGCGCAGGTTTTTGTCGTCCGGTCTACGATCTTCTAGAGACAGAGAAGGAACGCGAGGAGGGCGGGCTCATTTCCAGAGCAGCGGTTGATTATGGAACCAAAGCAAAAGACTAAAAAAGAGAAAGAGAGAGTTATTTACTTCACATTTGTGTAATTACATTTGAGTAAAAAGCCGAATCACCCATAAAATGTCTTGAACAATTATTGAATAACAGCATAGTATAATAATTACGAAAGTTTCCTGCATTTTTTGATATCAATTAAAATATGTTTTCTTTATTCTCAGTTTTATAGATGTTTAAACTACCCGTGGAAGCGATGGAACGGTGATATCATACAGACACGAGGACATTTTTTGTGACATTTCTACGGACGTTGTGTACGTTACCTGCATCCCAATACATTCTTCTTCATTTTTACTTTAGTACTTGAACTTTTGTATTCATTTCAAGAGAATATAAACAGCAGTCTATAATCTTTTGATTCCTTTTCACTCCTGTTTTTACCCTTTATAATTTGTATCCTGTAAGTTTCTTTCATAAATAAATAAATAAACTATACAGTGGTTATCAATGTTGTGCCGCTGAGCTGAAAGCGCTTGGAAGTACTGTTTGCACATCACTCTATTAAACTGGCTTAAGACCATTATTCAGGTTTTCTTCTAAACTGAACTGCCGTTACTGTTCAAAATCTGCACCACTTTCATCACTTGATCTCGGTGTACTGCAGCCTGGAACGTCGTTCAAAATGGGCGAAGACTTTTAACCGCTTCAAACCTTGAGACATTGACAAGCTATATATTGTGTGGTGAATTATGCCAGGACTCACCTGAATCTCTTTTCAGAATTTTAGAAAAGTTATCGTATCTGTAAGTTCCTTCGCCCGCTGTGATTTGTTTTTTGACTGCACATGTACTTGTTCTCTACAATGGTGAGGACCCAAACATTTCAATTTCTAAGAGTACTGCCCCTAACTTGAAAAAAACCGACAAATTAGTCTTTTCAGTTCAGAAGCCCAGTAAATCGGCGAAAACTCAACAGCTAACGTTATTGAGACAATCTGTGCGTACTTTGAAGCGTTGATTTGTCAGCTACTAGACATTTTAGACGGCTCCGCTACCTTAACTTTCAACGAGCGATGATCCTGAAACCCGCCAGCTACGCAAGTTACCAGACAGCATGTCGACAGCCTGAAAAGACCTTTTTGGACCCCCTCGTCGTGAACGAGGCTTAGCGGCATTGTGTAACTGGCACCTCATGTTTGTACGCGAGTATTTATCTTCAAACTTGGAAAATCGTAAGACATAAGTGTATCGTGATTTGATTACCACAACGATCATAATTTCTTCCTCCTTGTTACAGTGTTTTCGTCTTCCTTCCGCACAGAGCTAACGTTTTCCCAAAGAGGACTTGGGTCATACAATTTTCGACAAAAAACTTGGTTGGCAAAGCTCCTCATTTCATTATAAGAGAGAATTTAACTGGCGCTGTTTCCTGGCGATAACTCTTTTTTCTCCGATATACTTCCAGTGAAAAATGTCGTTCCAATCTGTTTCCAGATGTAAAACCAGGGTTCTCCGTACAAACGAAAAGCGCTGTTTGTCTTGCACGCAGCTGTTTCTTGGGATGTTACTTGACATTTCTACTGAGTGACATCCGTAAAATAGGTGTGTGCATGTATTTTGCCTACAAAAATTGCAGAATGCTCAGAAGGAATGATTAGATGTTAGACGTATGGAGAACGTGTTTGACGTAAATTACACACTTGAAAGGTTGAAAAGGCGAAAACATTCTTCTTCCTCTGGCTCGTGATTTACAAACGTTTGAAGTGTTCTCCCAACATCCCGCTTGGGTTATTACGCCGTTAAACCCATAGAAAGTGCAGTCTATTGGTTAAGCAACAACCAGAAATTATTGGCAAAATTGCTCATGACGGACTTAGATCTAATGTTAATTGCAAACCTGACAGAACTTGACTTCCGTCCCTAAATAGATTTTGGCTGACAATTCCCTCTCTCTTAACAGTCTTTCTGTGTATGCGCCGAAAATGAGTGAAAAAGCGACCCGTAGACGGTATGGCTTGTAGCGAAACTGACATTGTAGGCAAATTGATTTCTGCGCGAGCTGACCCGTCGGAAAGATAATTTGTAGGCGAAACTGACCCGTAAGTGGAAAGACTTGTGGGCGAACCAACCCGCCGGCGAGATGACTTGTAGGTGAAACTGACCAGTAGATGAGATGAGCTGTGGGCGAAGAAACCGGTGGGCGAGAGGACTAGTGGGCTAATTGACCCGTAAGCGAAACGACTTGTAGGCGAAACTGACGTGAAGGAGAGTTGACTTTTGGGTGAGCCAACCCGTATGAGAGATGACGTGTGACTCGTGGATGAGATGACTTGTAGGCGAACCAACCTGTAGGCGAGAAGACTTTTGAACGAGACAAACCTGTAGACGAAATGATTTGTGGGCGAACCGACTCGTGGGCGAGATGACTTGTAGCAGGAACCTATTATCTGGAGCTTCCATCTTCCATACTTACCCTCTGAGTCAACCCTGTCCCGTATCTTTCTATTTTAAGAAGCACCTCCCACGGGGTTTTTCGGGGGTGTTTACATAGTAGCCAATCATAAGAGAGCTGTGGTCCTCTATTGTTTACATCGCATGCAGGCCGTACGAAAGTATTTCAATAATGGCGAAAAGCGCGGAAAGTTTACCATTTTTTTTAGGGTGTTATGCGAACGTCAGCGTGTTTTCGCGGGAAATTAAAAAACCTACCCACGTATCTCAGTTATAAAAATAAAAAGATACAGGACAGGGTTGACTCAAGGGTACAATTGGTATGGAGGCTCCGGGTAATGAGCTCCTGTTTGTAGGCAAAACTGGCCGGTAGGCGAGATGACTTGTGGGCGAACTGATCCGCAGGCGAACCAACCTGTGAACGACTTGTGGGTGAAATAAAACTGTAGGCGACTTGACTCTTGGGCTTACTTACCCGTAAGCGAGACGACTTGTTACAGAAAATGACCTGTTGGCGAAATAACAAGTGGGCGAGGGTGCCCAACCAAACTGGAACTTACTTCGGTTTCTGTGCCATGGGAGGGGGTTGTACTCTAATTCTCTGCACCTGCTCTGCTGGAAAATGTAACGCATGCTTCAGCCTTTTGCTATTAGGCTCGAGAATCACATTTGTCACCTTGAACTGGTATGGTTTTGCTAAACTCGAAATCTTTTTTGTAATGTGGAGTTTGATAGTACCGAATCAAGTACTTTTATCAAAATTCGCGTTGTCAAGGAATAAGTCGACTGAAGGAATTCCAGATTGTTAAAATAGTACGTAGACAATATTCATATTCTTCGTGCCGTACGCTTTTTCATTGTCGCGGTTAATTATACATCTGATCGACATACTAATGGCCTCTAACTGTTTTTAATTAGTAATGCTCATTGTTCGTAAGAGAGAACTGAAGTTATTTCCTTAGATTATTACCAAACGGATTAAGGTCTTACCGATTTTATTTCCTAAAAGAACAATTTTTAGTATTCTATTTATAAGTGCTGTAATTTGAAAACCCAAATACCCTTTTTCAAACATGTTATATGAGAAGAGAATATAACCGAAATTCTCTTACAGATGATAATACCAAACAAGGCGAATGACTTTTTTTTTTCTCTACCCTATTATTTCCACGTGTTTTATAGCTTTCTTTGTCTCGCCGCAATTGGTTTCTTACTCTGATAATCTTGTTGTTGCTTCGGATCAAGGTTAGATCGCCATGATAATTACTCTGATCCTTTTCTGGTCATTCTACATTTCTTCTTTCTGTGTACTCGTTTTTTCCTGGTCGTGTTTTCAAGATTCGGAGTTTCAAAGTAAAAACATGAGTAAAATGACATGAATAAATAAACAAGCATTTTTACTTGTGTCCTGATTTGGTCACGTCCGATATGAACCGCCACACATCACCAGTCTTCAGGTGAAGGCCACCTCATAGAGAATTCTGCAAAGGTCTGATTGTTTGTTTCTTATTGCTGTGATGGATACCTTACGAAGACGCAATCCCTCGGCGGTAAATGGCCTTAAAGTCCCGTTTTGTTTTGTTTTTGGTCGTGGGAATCGATGCTTCTTGAGTCTCTACTCCAGTGTTGTTGAAGTGAGGTCTCGTATATGTTAGCGGCCTACTTTACTTGATTTGCAATTTAAAAACCCAAGCCGTACTAATCGTTTCACACATCTTTCACTTTTCTTTCTACTTCGCATAGTTTAATTAACGCAAAATTGATATCTTTTTCTTTAGTTTTTTTCTCTTTTCAGGTTGGTATTTCTAAAAGGAGAGCTGCAAGATTTAGTTGATATAGGAGACCGGGCCCCAGATATCGATTTCAAAGAGATATCACTAGCTGGACGTGCAGACCATCGTAATGAACAGTGGCGCCTGTTCGTCCCAAGAGTTTGAAATGGGTGTCTAAGAAGTTTGCACCCTCTAATTGAATGTAACAACAAGATTCAATTGTTGAATTAACGACTTTACACTTACATGCGCTAAAGGATGGTCTGAGTACCTTCTGCCCGAATTCAATATTTGTGTTTATTGTGATGCGACAGAAACAATTCATCTTTTTTTTTTTTTTAATCTCAACACTTGTCACCTATTGTGATTGCTTTTGTCTCTTTCTTGAAGAAAAATTGCACCCAGGAAAGATCAATACTGGGCTTTCTTTTTTCATAAGGATGTGATTAACGCAGAATCTAGTAAATTCTAGTTTGATTGAGAAACGGAAGGAAAAAAATCATAACAAGATTACAAATATCAGTGGCAGGTGCGACAAGAATGTTTTCCGGTAGAGCTGCATTCCGTTGAAAAAAAAAATTAAATGAAGAAAATTGGCAAAAATCTAGGCGCGCAATTTTCGCATATTTACCCACAATCGCTTTTTCATAGGTTGACTGGTTTTTCATGCATATTCATTTCCTCTTCAATTCAAGCGTCAAAATGTTGCGGTGGCAATATCGTTCTCTGTGACTTGATATTGAAGATTTTCTTTTCAATAACACACGTCACACGAAAGTAGAATTGACCTCTTATCTGTTTCTACCACATATTATATTACAAGCGACTGAACATATCAATCGCTGGTTTAACAGTAGGCAACGCTGAAGGGAGACGCTTGTTTGCACGAATCAAAAACAGCGAGGAACTAAACCTGGTTTGTAAACACGCAACAGAGACACAGCTTGTAAAAACAAGGTTTATTCAGAGGAACCTCTTTATTATAACTTTTGTAAGGAATGGATTGAGGTAAGTAAGTTAAGAAAACATTGGCACCAAACAATTATCAATCAACGGACACTCGACCGACCTAGCTACAGGAAATAATTTCAAAGACAGTTTTCTCGTAAATATCATCCACAAAAAATACTTATGGTGAATCTTTTCGGAGGAGAAACCCTCTATAGTGGTTGTGTGTTCGGATCGACTCAACCAAAACACCCTGGCATTCTTTTCAGGCGTTAAGTGGGGTTTTCGAGTCAATGCTATCGATGTCTGAAAGCAACATCTAAGATATGTTTTCACTCTTTTTAACTTTGTGGTTTTAACCATTCGGGAATGCCTTTCCAACGTGAAAGATTTTTTACTGATTTAATCGCTTTAGCAGTCATCAGAACCTATTTCTGGATACGTCACGACGAATTGTTTGTGAAAGATAATGATACAATATACTGAACGTTGTAGTAAAACCATTCAAGGTTTGGTCAGAACCGCAGAGTCTTGTAATGATATGAATGTATACAAAAGTTTTCCCGCAATTAATATTCCTGTTTAGGTATAGTTTACTTTGTGAAAGGGGTTATCTTTGACAAAGAAGCTGAAATGAAATGCGTGATTTAGATGTCGTTTAGCAAACTTTGTCTCATAGTACGTGATAACGAATATCCCTTACTTAAAGCGTCGGGCGTGAGGAAGCTAGCGAGACATGTCCATATTGTTATTTTTTGTTTTCATTTAATATTCTTGTTTTAAAAAATGAAAGATATTCGTATTCAGCCGTAAATGAAAGCTTCTTGCCACACGGAGAGCTGAATATCAACCGTTTTGGCCTTTGAAAGAGAAAGATCTATTTTTATCTGAAACGCTGGACGGCGGAACAAAGAATATTCGATAGGAGATTAAGGGGAAGAGGGGGAGGGTTAGGAAACGATCTCCTCACGATTTCTCGGAATTTTTATATATCAGTATACATCTTTAAGTATCCCCAGTAAATGTTCCAGTGTAGCAACTGAAAAATACTATTTACTTTAAATTTGTGGAACCAAAGCTCCTCCCCCATCCCCGTCCGGCTGCGCCATAGCTGCCAAATCAAACGCTATTGTTTTCAGAGATAACCCCATCTAGCGAAATAATCTCAGAGGATTTGGGGCACATGATATGTAAACATCAACGCTGTCAAAACAGTCAACGAAGCAAAAAAAAAAAAAATTACCGTAACTGAGACGTATCTTTGATCAATTCTCAATCAGTACCCAAGATTTAAAATTGGTGAACTTTATTCCTCTCTTTGTTGTTGGAGATACCCAATATGCATGTTTTTGTGTCATATATGTAGCCATCGCGTGATAGTCATTAGTTAATGAGATTCTAATTTATTTTTGTCTCACATCAGTAAATCTGTGATTGTCTCACCGATAGGAATAAAAGCTACAGTGAAAGACGCCTCACGGAAAATAGAAAGGAAATTCGAACGGAAACTTGAACTGTAAAATGTCGGAATTTTTCAGCTGTAATGACAGCACAGGACGTTACGTCTTCAATATCGTGTTTTTCTCGCTCATTGGCGCTGCGATCATCGTACTTCTCGTACTGGGTGCTTACTTGCTCTTTAAACGACACAAGAAAGCTCAAAAGAGAAGATTGCTTTCAAGAAGTCGTGTAAACACCATGAACACAAATAGCACAATTTTATCAGGGGCCAGTGGAGGCGGCGGAAGCAGTCAACTTACGAGTAATTTTATCCTGGGCCGGCCACCTGCCACTGATGTAATTCTGGGTGTTTACGGTGACGAAATCTCCAAAAATGCCAGGGCTGCATTTTATGAAGAGAAAGGCTGGCGAGGATTTGCTTACTGAAGATTCATCGAGTGTGTCTAAGGCGCACGTTCATGACAAGAGTCCAGGTTAATTTTAATCGAGAGATTTTCCCGTTTTGGTTGGTACCTGAGTTGCGTTTTAAACAGCTAGTGAATTAGCATTTATGGGCCGATTAACACACTTTGAAAGTGAAACAATACGGCTCAAAATCGCTCTAATGACTTAATGGTCGTTAACATTCTTTCTTGGCCAGAACGGCTCAAAGAAGTTTTGAGAGATTCTTGAAAGTTGAAAAGCGGTCTCAGCGACACCTTACACGTAATTGTCCATGGATATGAACATATTTTAGAAAAGAAAAGCGCCTTTTGTACTAAGGTGCTTATATCTCATTTTCACGTGACATAAGAATAGCTGGTTTTTGTCTCCGATCGACTCCCCGGTCAAAATGTCACGAGAAGAACACATGCCTTTTCGCTGAAGGAAGTAAAATAGTTCTTATGAGGAAATGAAATCTCGTTGTATGAGATACTTTCTATTGTAGAAAAATTTTAACCTTCTCTGAATTGTATCAAACCAATTAAGAAGGATTTCACTTGAGTTTAGCTATTAAGAGTTAGCTGAGAGTGGAATTAGTACACTTTAAAACTGGTCTAATTATTTTGAAAAGTCTGGCTGTTTGATAGCCTCAGCATGTTAAATATATTAATTGCTCCGGTCTGATCACTACTTCACGGCATTCCATGCCTTTTTTAGAATACCCTTCAAATAAAAAAACCCTTAAAATAATAATTAATGAGGGTGAACAAACTCTTAAGTACAAGGGTGGTTGAGGCGGACGAAGGAAATGACAAAATTTAATAAAATTAGGCAAAATATTCCATGTATCGTTTTTATACATTGTGAATCGATGAGCATAAAACAAGTTAACTGCGACACTTGAAATACCGCCAAGAGTTACTATTCACCCTTTGGTGCCCCAACGTCCGTATGCATATTTTCTATACTGTTCTCTCCTTGGTTGGGGATCCCTTCCTTTATTCTTGCGACCTCAATGTCTGATTCAGTAGTGATCGCGTACGAAGAAATAAAACGCTTGTTACTCTTAGGATTTAATGGGGTAACATATAATACGACGCAGATGGCAAACCTACTGTTATTGAAAAAACGTGTTTATCAAACTATCAGGATTAAGTTACGTGTAAATCAGTGGGAAAAGATGACAAACTTTATCAAATGACCTGCACGGTCCTGCGCGTGATCTTATTGAAAAACAAGAGACAAAATATCTGTAAAAGGGCCATATACGGTGGTGTGAACAGGACTGGAAAGAACCGCACAGCTCCGCAAGATTTCCGCGAAATGAGGAAAGGATAGGAAGCATTTAAGAAAGGGAAAAGTCATACGTGAAAATGCTTATTTAATGAGTTAGGTCGTGGAGGGGGACAGGGGGGCGGGAGCCCGAGAGAACAGGGGGCGGGAGAGGGCGGGAAGCGGGAGAACAGGGGGCGGGAAGGGGAGAACAGGGGGCGGGAAGCGGGAGCAGAAGTAAAGAAGGCGATACAAAGTTTGTTGTTTATTACTGGGTATTATTCAGTCAAAAACACTTACCTAACAAAGTTTTGAAATTTCCATTTAACATCCACCAATGTTTAAAAGAAAATTTTGGAAGCAAGAAAACGTAAATTGGGCTGGAAAAACAGTATCACTTCCGGTGAATTTGGAAATCCCTTCAATTCGATTACGTCATACAACAAATATACAGAAAACTTGACATACTACGAAGTCATATAGGCTTGTCAGCCCCAATTTACACTCGATTATTAAACGAGCGCTTTAAACTCTCCGAAGAAACATTCTGCAAGATGCTTTCAGACTGCCGAGGCGAATGTGATTTGAAAACAAATGAAATTGAAGAAAATCAATTTAAGAAGTTGTCTTGACTCGGCGGGAGAAGAAACTCTAACCAAAATTTGGGGTTTGAAGAGTTCAGTGTGGTCTTCCCGGCGTAGTAGGTTAGAAAACTTCTTCTAGCCTTAAAACTTTCCGCAGAGGTTTAAAGAAGATTTCAACCTTTCGAACAAATCTGAAAATCAGCCGAACAAGAATGTTCAATCAAGCTTCACTTGCACTTAAGCTGAACGCTAAAATGGAAAAGTTCGACAATTGATATGCAGCGATTTAAATACTCCTTTGGAGTCAGCTTTTTTATTCGCTCACGACTAGCTACGACTAGTTACTTACGTCAAAAAGGGAAAGCAAGCACGGATACAAGAGAAGCAAACTCTAAACGTTACATACTTTATTTATTTAATTATTTATTGCTATTATTTATTTATTTAATTCTCCTCAAGGGGCTTTCAACGTTACGTCTGGCTCTTGACTATTTTATTTGATTTTGAAATGGCATTCCTAAATGCATGGAAAAACCTACATTACATTGCAATAGCTATTACATCACACAGTGGAACGAGACTTTCGTCTCTATAACGAGATGTCTGAAGCGATGGTCAAACTGTGATAACCAGGTCAGTGAAACTTAGCGTAATTAAGAAAACTGACCTGTAATAACTTTCATCGGAACCAATGATCCCCCCGCCAAAACAAAGGCCAGAAAATGAACAACAATGTTAAGTTTTGGCACAGTTTGAAAGTTAAACCCGGGCTTCTGATCAACTTGATTAGCCTGAAGACGGGAGCAACACCGTGAAGAGTGGGAGTCGGGAGGCAAAGGGGCACAAAGGTACGGGAGGCAGGAGAACGAGGTACGGGAAGCGGGAGACTCTCACCTTCCTGTCCCCCCCCCCGACTAGGTCGGGCTGAACAGGAAAACGGTTGGGCTCCGTGCTCGCACATCATGATTTCGAGCCAAGTAATTTCCCGCTCGGCCGACCCACTCAGTCTAGGAGATTTGTCTCGTGGCTAGCCGTAGCGAAGGATGACGATATATATTTTTTCATTCTCCGACGGTGTAAGGTTTACCTATTACCTACTGAATGCCAGTGCTCGATTGGTTTACTGTGCACCTAAGTATTGTCACGTTACTCCTTTGCTAAGAGAACTCCACTGGCTACCAGTGCGCTTGCGCGTAGATTTTAAGATTCTCCTTGTTACATTTAAGATTCTTCACGGTGTTGCGCCTAGCTATCTTAAGGATCTTGTCTCTGTCTTACCGGTCTCACGTTACCAACTATGCCGTAACAATAATGGTATATTGTTAGAAAGGCCTCAGCTAAGAACGAAGAAGACCTTGGGAGATCGCGCGTTATCGATGGCTGCCCCCTTTTTATGGAACAGTCTTCCTCTGCCAATTAGACAGGAAACATCAATCGACTCTTTTAAACGCTCTGTTAAAACATATTTATTCAAAAAGGCTTTTAGTTAGATTATTTATTTATTTATTTTTAATTTTTTATTTTTATTTTTATTTATTTATTTTTTAATATTGTAATGTTAATATTGTAATATTGTAATTTTACCGAGTAATTTTACTGGCTTTAATTTAGTTTTTAATAATATTGTAATGCGCTTTTGAGTATTTTTATAGAAAAAGCGCAATATAAGTATTAAATATTATTATTATAATATTATTATTATTATTATTACGTGGTCACAGTTGACTGTTATCATTCAACTTCCAAGACACCTTCAGTTTTTCATTTCACTGAACAGCGGTCTATCTTTAGGCTGAGGAGGAATGGAAACGAAGTGTGAACGCCTAGCTAATATCTGCTTTAGCAAGAAGAAACGATGAACATTATGCTTATTGAGCTCGTCATTTAAGCTAAGTCTATCAATTTTTCATATAGTATAATGAAAGACTGTCACCAAAAAACAATTTTAGTTAGTTTGATGTTTGCCCATGGGTACCGGCGCATCTAGCCACACAGTCAGTAAAGGCGAGCCTCAAATGTCGCAAACTCCTAACAAAACTTCCAACATAAGTGAAGCAAAGAACATCTTGGCTTCAGGCACACAGTCTGAGGAAAAGGCAAATTACGTGGAAATGAATGCACCATCAAATTTAACTGAGGCAGACAGGAATACAGATGAATTAAAAAGACATCTTTCAGAAGGAAGTCTTGCGCGCAAAGAAGTTGTGACTCGTTGTGCGGAACTTCTGAAGTTTTCCTTCACTATAGACGAGACTGAAGAAATTCAAGCAACGTCTGAAGAGTTTGTGCTGAAGAAAGACATCCCTCACGTCGTATTCGAAATTTACACCAGTCTGTTAACGAATTATCCAACTTTGGTGAGCTTTGACCGAGAGAAAGATGAAGTAAGTGAATTTATGAAAATGTATAAAAGAAACTTTTGACTTATAATTTCTTGTTTTTTGATAAGTTCTTTTCATACATGATTTTTTTTACCTTAAGATATTAATTTTTTTTGTGTTGTTTTCTTAGGAAACTGAATATGATACAAAAGTTCCAGAGGAACTAAGACTTGCTCAAGATGTTCTTAATTTATTGGCCGGTTTCACTGTGAATTTAACTTCTTGTCCTAAGCTGGCAATAGCATTTGGTAAAACAGGGCTTATTCCAGTCTTTCTGGGGATGACAGAAGCTTTAAAGGATTGTATACCAGACATTATTCCATTTGAGGTAGAAAAACAAAATCAGAGCTGGTAAAATAAGTTTGAACAGTTTGCATAATTGAAAGAAGAGCTTGCTTTGCTGATGTTGATAGAAGGATATCTTAAAATGACAATAGTTAGTTAATCCTTTAACTCCCCGAAGTGATTAACATGAAACTTTTCCCCATAATATCCATATATTATCCAGCAAATGGGTACTGAGAGTACTCAAACTTATTAGGTAGAAGTTGTTGTCCTGATCTATCACTATATTCTCATAACTACATGTAATTTACAAGGAAGTGTGTAGCAGCTAGAGGGGAGAATCAACAGTCAGATCTTTGGAGTTAAAAGGTTAAATATCCCTTATAACCAGCCTATAAGAAGGGATTACAATTCTGTAGTAGAATATTTTTGACCATCAACTAAGGAAAAATGTTTATATGGATAGAAGTCAAGACTGAAAATTTTATGAAAAAAGCAACTATTAATAGCTGTATATCTGTAATAGTATAATTGTTATACACTTCTGTTGTATGGTTAACAAACATTAACCTGTCAACTCTAGGGATCTAGAGAAAAATATTTTTCATCTTGTCACAAGCATGGGACAAATAACAAATTCTGAGTCCCCATGAGGAATCCAACCTCAGACCTTCGGATCCTGTGCTCTGATGCTCTACCACTGAGCCACAGAGACTCTATGGTGAGTGGGGTCAATTCTGAAGTTCATATGACACATGTCCTACATACTGTTGGGATCAGCAATTTTGATAGTGTCATGTTTGTGAATAGAATTAGGGAGATGGTAAGTCTTGAGCTCAGTAAAGAAATAGAGAAAGATGTTTTTCTGGGATCTGATTGTTAATTTTCCTTTCAAGTTGCTACACATTTCCTTGTTAAAATAGTTACAAGAATTTGGTATTAGATCAAGATAATAACTTATGCATGATACAACAGTGAGTTTGAGTATTCTTATCACTTTTCTGTTGGATAATGTAGGAAATCATAGGAGAAGTCACATGTTACTCACTCTTAAGAGTCAAAGGGTTTTATAAGCTTAATTGTGGAACTTTAAATTTTCCATGGTGGAATTTGCACAGGAAATTGTAGTGAAGGTTCAATTCAGAAAATATTCATGTCCTACTTAAATTTGAATCTCAATTTCCCTCTACTTTTAGTACAATTATATTAGATTTTGATAACTGGCACTACCTTAACAAAGTTAACATTCCAAATCACAACATGGTTTTTACATTTTACAGGATCCAGAAACAAAAACAATATCAAAGTGGACAGCTAGAGGTAGAACACTATCAAGACTTCTTGGGTCTCTTGTCAATATGGCGATTCAGGTCTCAAACAGGATAGTCTTTTTGGATAGCAATGGGATACAAAATTTACTACCTTTCCTTCAATCCCCTGTGACTGCATTTTATATCAAGAGTTTATTTTGCCTTGCGTACCTTGTTGAAGAAGAAGATAATGGAGTAGTAATGGCAGATGCTGGTAAGAATTACCAACATTTTTATGAGTAATTGCATCATGTTTGTAAATGTATGACTTTAAATTTGTGTGACATTTGTGTTACAGTTGGCCTTTGTGCCATTTGATTCCTTCGGATAGTCTTTCTCTCCCGCTGATTTTTAGTTGTTGCATCATACACCCTTTCACTATTCACTGTTCATATATAGGTTGGGAAGAAGCGCTATAATTAGCACCATTCCTGTTGGTGGGAGGAGTACTCTCAGTATTTGCCAGCTCTTCAACCTTCTCGAGTTTAGTCTGTTCATCATCACTGCAAGCTGGACCGGTACAGTACTTTCTAGGACAACCAAAGTCACGAACAGACTTTGACACTTTACAACCTGAAGACCGACTTTGACGATGTATTGGAAAGAAAAATGAAACAGTACAGTACAAAATCTCTAGTGTATGCTCGCAGTGAAAACTGATGCAAAATGAAACACAAAACTCCTAGTGCCTGATACTACATATGAACTTTACAACTCTTACCTGAATTTCCTAGGGACTGCTACACAGGCTTGATCAGCCAGAGTTGTTTATTTAGAATTTTTGTTACATGAGAGAAATAATACTGGTACTTCCTTTTATTTCCAGTTTGGATTTAATGGGGCAATTCCAGCCATTTTTAACATGCTCACGACTTCCAAAGAAGATTCAGATGAGAGGCTTGGAGGGACAACTGCCTTGTGGATGTTGTCATTTGATGCCATCAACAGGGCACTCATTAAAGCTTTCCCATCAGCCACTGACACACTACAAAGGTTTGCTCAGGATTCTGATGAAAAAGTTGCAAAAGCCTCCCAAGGTGTTCTTTGGGAAATTGAAACAGAAAACAGAGATCTTACAAGATCAGGTAATTAGAATATTCAATTTGATAATTCACAATTATATTTTGATTAACTTTTAGTAAGATCAGTTTTAAAATGAAATATTGCCCACTTGTTTTACAAATTCCTGAAGTCTGGTTAAAATTTGTTTGAGTCATTTAGGATCAAAGATATCTTCAGTGGGGTGAAGTTAGTGTGATACACTGATACTATCTTTTAATGTTGAAAAAGTAAGAGTTCATGATGGTAGGATTCCATTGTAGCTCTCTACCATTTTTGTAAAGTCTTGTTATTAATAATAACAAGTGGTAAATTTAGGCAGCCAGGAAGCCTGGCCTCTTCCTTATTTTAAGACCATAGCCAAGCACCAAAGGGATGAGTGACTTTAATTGGAATTAAAATTGGTATGGAGATGTCACTTTCTTGCTCCATATGCCCTTTTCAGAGTGGATTTCTCTAAGTTGCTGCCCTTCCATCCTTTGTTGTTCTTCTTGCTTCCCACGTTTTTATACCTTGGGAACAATTTGAGAATTTTTTTAGGGTCTTCATCCCAAGTTTAAAATTTACCAGCAAGAGAAAACAAGCTGTATACTCTCTTGCCTATAGGCCTTTTGCTGATATTTGAGGTTTGAACTAACCAGTACTATAACATGTAATCTAGTTACTACAGATTCTCAGCACATAATGATAAGTTATCAGTGGGATTGCCAAGAAATCATACTTCGTGTGAAGGATGAACTGAGATCTGCAGGATTTAATGTGTGGATCGATGTTGAGAAAATCGAAGGATCTACAGTTGCAAAGCATGGCATCTGCCGTGGAGAACTGCGCAGTGTTCGTAATGGCTGTATCGCGGAAGTATTTTGAGAGCCCGAATTGTCGTTCTGGTAAGTCTCGATAAAAATTTACTTTTCTGTTGCCCTACAAATCTAATGAATATGCCGAGGTCCTTTTTAAAGTTGACAATATGGATCTAAAATGACAATGGAATTATGATAGACTACTCAGGACACTCTCTTGAAGTTACACGTGTACAGTGCTAAAGAGAAGGTAAAACCAAAATGGACGTCATGAATGTTTACCCTACTGTTTCCGGTTTTCTCAGGCAGTAATATACCATATATATGCGTGTACCAGGCTAACAATGGCTCAAGAATTCCCTCTCATCTCCCACTTACAAGGAATAATGTTGGTTGATGATTATGTCATTAAAACACCTTTATATTTAAACATTGCCTGTACTGACATCCTCTTCCTAAACTTAATTCCGACAACGACATGTGCAGTAAGAGTTCTGAAATTGCGACTTAAAGATGTTGGAAATTCTGACGTGGGACTTAAAAGGACCCTTTCCGCTTAATTGGGCCTTTAAACTGTATCAAGTAGTTTACCGTTCATTGAATGTAAGATTTACCTCAGAGAAAAACAAGTAATTAGGTGAGTGATTAGGTACTGTTCATTTTATGATAGACCGTATTCGATAGTGTCTTAAAAACGAAACCAAGGTAATCAAAACATAGAGAAATATGTCAAAGATTCAGCCCAATGGAAACTCAAAGAAGAAACAGGAAAATGAGATCAGCGCGGGAAAACGCATTTCAATTCAGTTCCTACGCCAGCAGCTGTTGATGAACCAAGTTTCTGAACATCTCTTCCTTAATTTGACTGTTTCCTTTGGTTTGTGAATGCACTAACATGATAAAAATTCATCTTAATCCCTCAGAAGCAGAATATGCGTATCAGTTACGAAAGCAAATCATCCCATTGATGATGGAACGTCGGTTTCAACCCAGAGGCTGGCTTGGCATAATAATGGGCACCAAGCTGTGGATGGACTTTAGGGAGGATGGAAATCTTGAAGCAGGAACTAGCCAACTGATAAAAGAACTTGGCCAGACAGTGAAATCCCAAGGTAGGTGTGGCGGCGTGCGTCCTTAAGTTTTTTTAGAAGGAGGCCATATTAAGTTTTTGTGTCTCAACGAAGGATATGAGTGAAAACTGTTTGCAGTTAAACGAGGACATTTGCTACTATTGACGACTCAAGTTCGCTTTTCCTCCCTTATAACTGCACTTTTCCTTCCTATAACTGCACTTTTCCTCCCTTATAACTGCACTTTTCCTTCCCTACAACTGCACTTTTCCTCCCCTATAACTGCACTTTTCCTCCCCTATAACTGCACTTTTCCTTCCCTATAACTTCACTTCTCCTCCCTTATAACTGCACTTTTCCTCCCTTATAACTGCACTTTTTCTTCCCTATAACTTCACTTCTCCTCCCTTATAACTGCACTTTTCCTTCCCTATAACTGCACTTCTCCTCCCTTATAACTGCACTTTTCCTCCCCTATAACTGCACTAAGAAGACTTTCGTGCAATCTCAGCTACTTAACACGTCAATTGTTTTTTTTTATCGTGGTCAGCCTTCCATTTAGCTTTATATTTATTGATTCTTAAGTTCGCAAAAAATCGCTATTAAGATTCGAACTAATCCTTAACACGGAAAAGGAGTAGATTTAAACTTTTCCGTTTATTAACAGGGAGTGGAAAAGAGAAATCAAAGGAGGGCGATCTCAAGAAGACACTTTTGTCTTACAAGAAGAACCACAGAAATGTTTATGTGTATCTCTCTGAAAGCGAGAAATTTATAAGAGGCCTGCGCTCTCATCTGGCATCTGGTCAGTTGGCTTCAACTGAAGCGTTTTGGAAAGTAGACTGCTTCGTTGGACTCTATGTGAAGATACCTGACCCAGCAAGTAGGCACTTGGTGGTAGATCTACCAGAGTTTTTGACTGAGATAGTAAGAATTCTTCGGAGGCATTTATATCCTGAAGAGCGTTTGGCAGCTAGGGAAGAACGGGTTTTGTCTGCGGAGAAAGATGTGAAGGTAACGAGAAAGAAAAAGGCAAGCTCAATGAAGGCGAGATTTAGAGATGAGGTTCCATCTGAGGTATGAGATGTAAACTGGCTCTGTGAATGAGCTTTCTACTGGTGAGGAATGCACGTGTTGTTGAGAAGCGAGGGTGTAAGACAAATGTGAGATTGAATATTATGTTTAAGGTGAAATACAATCTGAAAATCGGGTAAAAACTCCTGCCCACCCTATCAAGAGACTATTTTTAGCGAAAAAGTAAATTGTTCAGTTTCAAACGAAGGAAATGTCCCCATGCAATCTCTTAATAAACTAGTGCGAATGGCAACCTCAAAGGAGCTAAATCCTTTTGGGTACCAGCAATAGAATTAAACTTATGTGAAAAGTGAGCAGAGTGGGTGGTATTTATTATTTTGGACAATTTCTTTCCCTACATCCATCAAGGCGGTTGTTGGAAAATTTAAGAGATGGTGAGTTATAGCAAGGTGCATCTTTATGCGTATCTCGTATGGTTAACTTTTGAGTTTGTAAGTTCGTGAAACCCTGTCGTTTTTAAACAATATTAACAGACATACATGACGGAGTCTTCTCTGTGTTTTCCACAGGAAAATTCAGAAGCTAAATGGGCCATCGAAGTAATGCTATCGGTGTCAGTTGCCATTCTGAGCTTTACTGATTTCCACGATGCCTTTTGCGAGGCGTGTGGAAATGCAGGGCTGATCAGGGAATATTTGGAGTTGTTAGAACAACTGAAGATGTGTACGCCAGAGTTTGAAGATCAAACGGTGGGAGTTTTACTTACTTCTCCCTATAACTCTAACTCTTTCACTCCGAGGATCTCATTGTTAATTCTCCTTACTGTCTGCCATACAATTTTTATGTTGTGAGATTGGAGAATTTGTTTTTGGATTAGCTAATAATCCCCTAATTGATATTTTTCGTCATTATCATGACTATTTTGCTTGCCTTGTATCGATGTTGTAAGGAGAAATTTTGTGTAGGTTACTTAGGGGAGTTAAAGGGTTAAGTTGTTGTCGTGTTTAGTTTTTTTTATGGCTTTCAGGTTATCTTATCAGACTAGTTTTGTTTCTCTTTGTCTCTGATCATGGTTATATATATATGGGACAGAGGGAAGTCAAAATAAAACTACAGTCGAACCTGTATTAAGTGGCACCGTATTAGGCGGTCACCCTGTATTAGGCTGTCACCCTGTATTAGGCGGTCGATTGTTTGAGTCTCGAAAAGTTCCCCCTCTTTCCAGCGTTCGCTTCTATTCAGTGTTCGCCTCTTTTCAGCGGTCGCCTCTATTCAGCGGTCACCTCTATTCAGCGGTCGTTGTCATCCTTGACTGAGTCCCAACAGCCTGTTTGTATTGTCTCCTACCTGTATTGAATGATCACTTAAAGTGGAACCACTCAAATAAAACTAAAAATTATTCTCTCAAGTCAAATTTATTCCATGTTTATCTCACAAAATCAGTGTTAGTCTTAGAGTTCAAATGTGTTCAACGCATTGCAGATTATCTTTGGTCGTTGCACTGTTAGGAAGAAATGGTATTTTTGATTGTGTTTGGTTCTTATTCATTGGAACTTGTATTTAGCGGTCACTCCGCCATTCCCCGTGTGTGACCGCTTAATACAGGCTCAACTGCACATTGTGGTTTAAAATATTTTTAGTAGAGAAAAATTTGAATCACAACATATATGATGCAGATAATAAACCGGTTGGAGGCACCTTTGTACAATACTTCGACTGTTTGTAAGCGTGGTTGTCTACAGCTGTCATGTAAACTGCTTGCTACAAATAGCTGAAATCAGCTTGAAAAAAGCCCTTCCAAATCCCTTCTCCTTCGTTCCGCGTTTTTATTTTAAATATTTTGTTTTCCTCTTCTTTCTTTTCGTTTGCCCTCCTTTCCTCACCTTTCTTAGCCTATCCTAACTATTTCCTTCCCACGTATTTCGTGAGAAGAATCCCGTTGTTGATCTAAACGTAATGAGATTTGATGATTCTTAGACTCCTCTAACCCATGCTGAATACAAAGACACCAACTTCTCAAGAAAAGGAAGCTTGATATTTGAAGTTCTGGGAGTGCTTCACAATCTTTCCAAACGAGCCAGCCTCAAGAAACATTTTGATAATGGTAATGCCGTGGAGACGCTGTTAAGCTTTTTCAGAACAAAGTTCCCTGTTTACAGAATGACTTCTCTTCTAACGCTGGCTTACTTGGTTGACGAGAAAAACAACCACTTAATAATGGCTAGTGAAGGTAAGTTGTAGGGTAAAACATGTTGAAATTGATTAGAAAATAGTTCAACATGGCCAAAGTTTATCGTTGGAAGCCTTATTGTGCGCATTACTATGCAGATTTCCATAAACTTCCTTCTTTTACCTTTGGTCACTTTCCGTATGCTGTTTATCCTAAACCTCAAGGCAGCTTTATTTGCAGGATTAGGTTTAGCCTTAGGATTACTGTAAATCTGAGATTATTTTAAGTTTTCAGGTTATTTCAGGTTCAGCGTTCGTTTGAACATTACTCATGAGGACTATTCACTCACGCGTTGTTCAACTTAAAACATCAAACAGCAGCGTTTTTGGCTCTTATGGCTACAACTATGTAGAGCCATTGCAGAACGGGAAGTGTGAGCTTAATTCTTCATTTCTTTTACAGTCATCAACTGACGTTAACAGATCATAAACCACTCATTTCAGAACCCATCAAAGATATACTGAAGTTGCTGGACAAAGCGAGTCACTCCGCTAACCGACGCAGTCTAGGATTCTCGGCGGCAGAAATAGCTTATGGACTGATGCACGTGGCTACCAATGATGGAAACAAGAGGATGGTAAGACATTACTTCTCAACATTGACCAACAACCGGAAGCAACTACAACAAGATCATTTATGCTGATTGTTAAACACAAATCGATGATCGGTAGCATCTACCAATCGATAATCGAGGTAATGTTTGCAGGAATGTCCAATACTAATCGATTAAATGAGATCTGGATGAACCCATACACCTACTCATACGAACTTCAGAAACAACTTATTATGACGGATGCAATAGCCTCGTTAAAGAAAGATAGAAGAGTTATCAATTTCTAAATGTTTAGCAAGAGCATTTTAAGCGATCTTATTTCATAGACTTTGGATCTTTTGGTTTTTTTTTTTTCACTATTTCTGTTGAACTCATCTGAAGTCTTTATTAGTAAAAGTTTTACTTAAATTTCTCGTCTAACTTACTTTGGTATTATTATGTGTCTTGATTTTTCTAGATCGGCCTGCACGGAGGTATTCCCATGCTGGTCTCCATGTTGAAAGGTTCCAAGGAACACGAGGACGAGAAAGTGGCAGCAGCCAAAGCGCTGTACATGTTATCGTTCGACGAGACCAACAAGGAAGTAATTAGATGTGACAGCGACACTATGTCATCGCTGCAAAGTCTGCAGAATTCAGATAACAAGGAAATACTGCAAGCGGTGTCTGGTATAATGTGGGAAGTACACGGCAAGATAGGACACTCTGAAAACTCAGGTACATGTTCAGTCTCTTCCAGGCCATGGCCATGGCCATGGAAATGTGACTAATATGGCTTGGGGATCAAATTGAATTTGAAAAGTCCGAACAGACCAAGGTTCTTTACCATGACAACTTTCTTCGTAGTATAACTGCGTAACGATAAAATCGAAGACTGTTCTGTCTTGTTCATTTAGTCTCTAACCCTAACTTCTGTCCTATAGCCCACGAGGTAAACAACATACTATCGATTCGCGGTAAGAAAAGAGATGACTGGAAATTAACCACACTATTTTAGCCTTTTGCCATGAACTTAATATTATGCTCCCTCACCGCCTTGTTCTAAACCTAGCGGACTTCGCTTCTTTTCGCCAAAAAACATGAGGATTCGGTTCAGCAAAATTGAAAGCAAAAGGCATTTCTTAACTTCTTAAAAGTCATCGTCTCATCGACCTTGAAGGGGGAGGGGGGGGGGTGGTGAGAGGGTGGATTTTGACAACCTATGATAATATGAGGACTGACGTTGTGGTTTTTTTCGGCAGATTCTGAAGAGCATGTCATGATAAGCTACCAGTGGGATACACAGCAAACTATGCTTCGTGTGAAACATGAGCTCGAAACTCGAGGATTCTCTGTATGGATGGACGTGGAGCAGATGGAAGGATCCATTTTGGAAACAATGGCTCGAGCTGTGGAGAAATCGTCTGTCTTAGTCTTGGCAATGTCACGAAAGTACCAAAACAGTCCCAACTGTAGATCAGGTAGCTACTTTACTTTAATAGCTCCCCACAATAGAGAGACAGTTTAAAGAGATGCTGATCTAAATGTAAAGGAACTTTCTCTTTTATTATGTGGGAGATTTGGCAGTGGATGGCATATCCCATAGAGAGAAGTAGAAACTTGCGTCTTGGAGATCTGGAATTTCCTCAAGTCCCCCGATTGAGGAGTGTTTAACGTTACAGAACATTGTTACAACGACGTGTGAATTTCACATACATGTACCCTATCCAAGTCTCCACGTAGTACTGATTGTCTCGATGTTGAGCTTCTTTGTTAATGTCTAGAGGCTGAATACGCTTACCAGAGAAGAAAGCGCATAATTCCACTGATGATGGAATCTGGATATAACCCTGACGGCTGGCTGGGGATTATTCTGGGCGCTAAGCTATGGATGGACTTCAGGAAGGAGCCGAACGTTGGAATTCAGCAGCTTATGAAAGAAATTTCTAAAGGAAAAACTGGTATGAACCCAGCATCTCGACTTTTTTGTGATTGATTTCTATTTCCATGTTATAATTCTTGAAATAGTGATTTCTTTTTAATTTAAATATTCTTGCAGCTGCCTCCCAAAGCGAATTATTAGGAAGCGCTCCTATAAAGGCAAGCGAAAACGAGAAGGTTTTACAATGGAAGAAAGAAGATGTCGCCAAATGGTTACAGGGTATTGGATTTCCAATGTAAGTTGTAGTTTCTCTAATGGTGAAATTTAAAAGCATCCTTGAATAGCCGTCTGCTCATAATCGACCACAGCAGTAACAAGGTAAACTGTCTTGTGTTATTATAAATGGTAAAAATCTTGGAGGAGCTTATGCAGCTCTCGTTTATTTACAGAGATGACAACAGTGTCAGAGGAAAGCTAGACGGTCCCTTGTTGCACATGCTCAATGAATTGCGAAAAGAGGTTGGTATAAGTTCTTCAGCTAAGTGTATGTATTATGACGATCCATTACATATTTGCACTTCGCGCGCGATATGTTTAATTTGTCACGTGACCTAACATGGCTCAGCTTAAAGTGGGGAATACCCAGTGACATTCTTTAAGTGATATTTCCAATTTTTGTCCCTTGCATTCAGTGAGATATAATTCTTTCTTCAAAAAAATTTTTCAAGTTGGGAGAGCGTTTTGCTGTAATTACAAGGTATTGACCAACTTCTTTGCTACTTAAGCTTAAGTCGCACTAACTTCGATGAACATCCGTTTGCGACTGTTTGAAAGCGTTTTGTTTCGCACGCTGTAAAATATATTTTAGGGGGAATAACACAGTGACTTCCACTTGTAACAAACTTTTGCTCGTTTGTTTGTCTTTGAACAGGTAATATTTTGCATATTAAGTGGAGGGTCACTCTCTATATACTTTTCCTATCGTGACGACAAGAGTTGTAATATTTTCGAGGTTTGAATGTCTTTCTTGCTGCTGTGTAGGTAACTTGTGCTATTTTGGTTTTGCAGAGCCCTGAATTCTTTTACAGCTCCGTTAAAACAGACCTATGTCTCCCGACCATAATCGAAGTTCTTCAGTTCACCAAAGAGTTAAAAGAACTATTTGGGTAATTCAATGCAGTAAGCCTCAGCGTGACCTTCTGATGCAGGATAGTATGGTCTACATGTATGAACTAATTTGACGTGAGTGAGTCATCTCACTTCGTCTAACCGGGGCACAAGCTGCGTGCGTCAGACGCCACCCACCTTTCTACGCGCCGTGGATCAACACGGAGCTGTAAAGGTAGCGACACCGGGGGATAGCAACAATCTCCCCTGCAGCAGGGTGATCATCGTGGCTACCCAGCCCCAGCCTACCTTTGGGCGCCTGTCACACACTACAGACAAACTAGTGTGTGGAATGAGTACTTATCCAAACGTGGGGGGAAGAGAGGAGAACAATGCAAGCAGATAGCGTGTCGCAATGCCCTCGAAAACCTTCCTGAAGTCCTCATATCATAATGGCGAGAGCGCTGCATTGACTTGGTTTTAACCTTGCCCAAATTGATATAGCCTCATTAAAATTTCAAACGAAGCTGGCCACCCTCTCCTGTATTTTAAAGGCTTCGCATCTCATCTGGTATAGCTAACGGTGTTACAGATATTTAACGGTTTCGGATCTCAACAAAGCTTTGTTATATCTACTTTGCTTACTCTTACGGTATGAGACGATCATTTCCTTCCAAACTGTAAGTGTTTTTCCTCTTGGAAGGGAAGTGCAGTCAAGTCGTCTTTTTCGAACATGTACCCCAGGGTAACGAAACCGACGTGATCCAGAATAATGTTGCAAAGGAGAATCGTTACCCTTGGCACAACCGTTTGATTCTACCGTCTTTGCTCATTTCGTTATACATCTGTTTACACTTTGAGTGCTATCGTGATCGGCACCAAGTTAAATTATACTTTTTCTTACATTAACAAGGGGAAGTGAAGGCGGTGCTGACAATACCATTTTAAATGTACAGTTGAGTGTGGCTTTATAATTTATTAAGGATGACTGCTAGATCATGTTTACAAGTATACAGTAGGATTTATGGGATTATCCCTTGATGTTAAAGCTATTGGACTTCTGTTGTTCAAAAAATTTGAACGGATACACACGCAGGATGCACGCAAGATGATCCAGAAAAAGAAATTACAGAAACGAAGAAAAAACCCAAGCAAAGAAAGGAAACAAGAAACAAAACATAACAAAGCTAAAAAGAACAGGGAAAGTAAGGTGATGGAAGTGTCTCTCCAGATTTGAAAAATAGGGTGGCTGGTCATACCGGTGAAGGGTGGGGGAGGGGGTGGGGTGGGTTTAGCTAGGGACGTTTTCCGTTTTTTGAAGTATCCCTGGCTACGCCCTTGTTTACTAATTGCCAGCAAACTCAATTAAAATCCAACTTTATTGGGTAACGATACTTCAGCCACCTAGTACGTGCAACAAAAAAAAAGTGATATTTGACTGCTTATCTAAGTCAAAGGTCCTATTAATCTTGAGTTTCCAAATGAAAATTTAAAAAAGTGGGTTTTGTAACCATGTAACGTTTTGATTACAAGCTAGAGACATGTTCTCTAGTTTTAAGTTTACTTATGTTTAAATGTTATTCATTAGCTATTTATTAATTAGTTAATTAAAAAATTTCTCTACGCTCAAAACTTGCAATGCAATCACTGAGTGTCACTTACCACAAGCAAGAGACATGTGCTCTTGCCTCACTCTTACGTAGGTTTAAATGTTATTAATTAACCATTAGAAAGCACACTACAATCAAAAATTGTCATGGGAATACTGAATGTCACTGATCGAAATGGCCTTAGTTGTTGTGGTCATCTCCAATAATCTCAGAGTACGTGTGCAGTGAATCACTGTGGAAACAAAGATAAATAAAGAGTAAGAAACGGCGCACGTCTCAGATCTGCGTGTCGGCATGACAAAAAAACTTGGGAGTGGCAATTTGGTATCAAAACCCGGTATAAAGAACTAGTTAATGCTGGCGTTCGTCCCTGAAAAGAATACCCTTACAGAAGATCTTAGGCTGATAAACGAAATTATTTCAAAAGCTTGGGGGGCTTATGAAACAGCAGCTACCAAAGCACCAGATGACCGTTTGTCAAATCGATTCAATGTCTCCAATGTATCGGATTTAATGAACCCATGCCCAAAATGTAAAAACAGGATGATTTACACCATGATCCAAATATCAAAAGTTGTGTTTATTTCATTTCACAAGTGACACTTACGTTTCTGTACTCGTTCAATTTCGCTCTCAGGCGGTTACCAAAGTCAACATGAACTTGGGAAAAGTTTTTCACCTGAAATGTATAAGTAGTTAAGTCAATTTTTTTCTCTTGGCTTGGGAGAGATGAAAAAATATTTTTTGACAACAGAGTAATTAAGTTTACAGAAATGGTGGAATGGGCTCTGCAATGTGTTTGACCTCCAACTCAGTATTTTTGGGAATGGAACTCAACGAAAAGGCGAACCTGAAACACTGAATGGTTGTACCCCTGGCTTTATTCAAAGCTTTGTTGCATTTAAAATTGGTTCTTGTTAAAGTCACGAAAAGCTCTCTACATTTAAACTTGGTCCTCGTTAGGAGTCTCAAAAGGCCCTCTGCCCCACGTCAGCAGTGCAGTGCCACCGAATTGTAAAGAAGGTGAAAGAGCAGTGTAAAAAGGACAGAGTTTGCAGTCAAATACTTACAGCTCTTTCCTGGAGGAAATCCTTGGCGTCCTTCAGATGACCGGCAATGGCACACACCAAGCGTTCTTTGGCACCTTTGTCCAGGGTTTTCTCCCAGAAAGTTGTGACCTATAGATTCGGGTTACGATTGATACAAATTAACATTCGTTTTGCAAACATTAATGTCTTTAGAATAACAACTGATATGTATTTAAGATAATCAAGGTTTGAGAAGATAAGATCAAAATATAGTTACAAGTTTTAGAGAGCCGTTAATTGTTCTCTGGACGTGATGTTGGTGTTGTTGTTGTGGAAGGGAAGGACAAGACGACTCCAAAGCATTTTATTTTGATCTCAAGGGATGTGAAAATGGAGTACATGTACTAAATCCATTACAGTGCTGATGTCACGTGTTGTATTACGGGAAGCACAAGGATATAACTTCTGATAACAATGCAAATTTATTGCACTGTCATGTTGAGTGGGTAACAAAGCTTTCAAATCCTACCTGAGAATAGTTGTCTTCATCCCCAGTCTCATAGCGTTTGGCATCACCACTCACCTGCAAAATAGCAAAAGGATGAGTTTCGTGAAAATTGTCCTCAGACAAAAGTTCAGAATGAGGTTAAACTCGTCCGCAGTAAGCGTAGGCTTTTTTTCTCACCTGAAATGTGTGTGGCTTATACTTCATGTCATCCTTGGGTCCACTGAAGCTGTTGGGATAGTAGTTAGGGCCCGGCTCTGAAAAGCATAAATGATAGAAAAATCGGAAATTAGTTTTCTGAGACAAACGATTAAACGTTCATTTAGACAACTGGAAAACAAAATGACGCTAGTTGGGCAGCTTTCCCAAAACTAAAAGACTCTTTTACAGCTATTTATTGAAGGTTTATTTTGACTTAAAAATCGACGGGGAAGAACCATAGTTCAACGGGAAGGCCATCGGTTCTATTGTAAGATTTGAGTTACGATACGATGCCTCAGGCCTTACCTGCGACGTCATAGCACTGCGGTCCGTCCCTTTGGTAGTGTTGGGGACCTCCACCCCTTGTCTTGTAAGGACAGTTCACAGGCAGTTGTAAGTAGTTGGTTCCCAATCGGTGGAGATGAGTGTCGTGGTAGGAGAACAGGCGGCCCTGTAACATCATTTGTTAAACTTGGTAAATTCAGACTTTATCTTGAAAGACAAATACGATTTACTAGAGTGATCTTTGTTGTACCTGAAGCATTTTGTCTGGAGAGGCCTCAATTCCTGGAACCATGGCAGCGGGGTTGAAAGCACTCTGCTCTATCTGTGCAAAATAGTTCTTTGGGTTCTCATCAAGCACCATTTTTCCAACTTGTATCAGAGGGTAGTCGGCATGCGGCCAGATCTACATAACAAAGATAAAACAAAAAGGCATTAGTACTTTATTACTTTCAGGTGTTATCGAAGTCTAGAGAATTACAGCAAATAGGTTATGCAAATTCTCTAAATTTCCAGAGATAACTTGGAATAATTTTTTCTCTAATGGAGTGTTAGCGTAATGGAAAAGTTGAATTTAATCTACCTTGGTCAGATCAAATGGATTAAAAGAGGATTTTTCTGCCTGGTCAAACGTCATCACTTGAATGTACATTGTCCAAGAGGGCTGAGGAAGGAGAAAAAATATTCATTTTTTCCTGTAAAATTTATGACAGTACATATACAGATGATCATTCTGACTATGACAAAAATAAACAAAGAGTGAACAAACATGAGGGGGAACATACATGTGACTGTATACTTACATATTTCCCATTGGAAATTGTGTTGTAAAGCTTCCTGTTGCTGTAGTCTGCGTCAGAGCCTGCCAGCCGCTCTGCTGAATCAGCAGGCAAATTTTTTATTCCCATATCAGTCTGTAACAGCAAGTAATAAACTCAATAAGTCATTCGAAAGATACCAGCATTAGCATTCGGCAGACCTTTAAGCCCAGAGGGAGTGTTATATGTTGATTTCTTGAAAGCTAGGACTGTGCAAACAACTTGACGCCGAGATGATGTTGCTGTTTCTTTCGATGTGGCAAAATCACTGTTCCGTCATAGATATTCATATGAAGCTACTTTGTATAAGTGTTGTTAGGCTGTGCTTTCCCTATAAATACAAATAGATATTGAAGTCATACCTTGAGATGGAACTTGCAGTAGACAGCCTCCCCTTTTGCATTCACCATTTTGAAAGTGTGACTTCCATATCCATTCATGTGCTCGTAGCCATCAGGAATGCCGCGATCGGCAAACAGGAAGCAGACTTGATGGGTGGTCTCAGGACGCAGGGTGATGAAATCCCAGAACATGTCGGGGTCCTAGACAGCAAAAAGGTCGCTCAATTTCTTGTTTCTTATTCTTCCGCTTTAGTAATTGATTGGTATTAAAATCTGGATCAGTAGTTTAGGACGGCATGTCGGGACATTTTCTATAACTAGGGACTTACTTTCAAATGAGTGACAGGATTCCTCTTCTGAGTGTGAATAAAACTGGGGAACTGGAAAAAACAATCAAGGCGATTAGAAAACCTAAAATGTTTTAAAAACGTTGCAAAACTTTCACAACAAAGGTTTAAAAACTTACAAAGATTGGGTCCCTGATGAAAAAGATTGGAGTGTTGTTTCCAACAAGATCCCAGTTTCCCTCTTCTGTGTAGAACTTCACAGCAAAACCGCGTGGGTCACGAGCTGTGTCAGCACTGCCAGACTCGCCACCTGAAACGTTAAAAAACAATGTTGTTTCTTCTGATGCATCTTTAATCTAACAATCAGTTATTTCATTTACGAAAATATATTAGATTATGAAAAGGGACGGAAATAAAAAACGAAGGCACCAGCAGCTTAGATGAGACTGAAAATCAAAGGAATGAAGGAGAGTGTAAGGACTTAAGATGTGACAAGCTACTGCGGCTATTATGTTACGAACAGGTTAAATGTGTTGCTGGTGTGTCGTGGGAATATTAACTGAACTTGTAGTTTAGTAACTACGCTTACCAACTGTTGAGAAGCGTGCCAACAATGGAGTCCTCTTTCCAATCTTATCAAAAACTGCAGCCTTGCAGTATTTGCTGATGTCATGTGTGACCTCAAAGTATCCAAATGCACCACCTCCCTTGGCATGTACCACTCTCTCTGGGATCCTTTCTCTATCAAAGTGGCTCATCTCATCCAAAAACTGCGCGTCCTGCAGCAGGATGGGCCCCCTGGGCCCTGCTGTCATGGTGGCTGTCTTTGTGTCGATTGGGCACCCAGTTCCAGTGGTGAGAACATCACGCTCCTAGACACAATAAAATATGAAAACGTGACTACATTGTTGACCTTTTGGCTTCAGTACTCAATTACATCTAAGAAATGGTCAGTTGCTTCCTTCCTCTTTCTAAATGTAACTTATAGGTTAGAAATTCAAGTCAATCTTACTGATTTTTTTCAAATTGGATCTTGCGGAAAGTTAACGGAAACTTTGGCATCGAATTTTTTCCTGGGAACACCATGTGGGGTAAATCTTCGGTTATAAAATAATCACTCAAGTTTATTCATGTTTCTGCAACTTGCGCATTAATCACCCTATTCGCAATATTTTACGAAGATTCGATGTGACAGTTGAGCGCAAAATCGTACTACTCTGCTAATTACCCATTTGGGATTGAAAAGTGACCAGCTCCATTGAGTAACTTTTTAAGATAGTTTTTATCACAAATAATCCCGTGTCACGTGTATGTCGTGCCACGAGTTCGTAGGCGTGATCCTGAATCGACTCTTGAAACTTGTTATATAACAAAATGGGAATGTTGTTTATTTTTGGAAGGGGGTGTGGCTGGGGGCTGAAGGTCCTCCACCCGTGAAACGCACTCAATTACTCACACACGAATGTAGTGGTTTGTTTGGGCACTCTGATTTGCTATTTCCATTGCAGCTCTTTTACTTATTTTTCTCTGGGTTTAGCTCGAACATTTCTTAAGTGTGATCAATAATCGTGGCTGAGACAACTCCAGCTCTTGCAACAATCATGATCTTCATTACTCGACGCATCGTTGATTTTTCACGAGTCGTCGGATTTGTTACAAATGGCAAATATAACAAAGACCTTTGAGTCCTGAAAATCGCTAAGGCATTTTCGTTGTAAATGTTCTGAGCAGTTTTTACTACCGTTCTTACGTTGCTTAATAGCTTTCATGCATAAATGTGGTCGTGCTTAGAGACGAAGTTCGTTCCTTTGGTCCCATTATCTGGGCCACACGCATACAAATGTCACGAACGTTTCTTGCAACTAAAGTAATTAACGCTTCGCAGAAACACACCGAAAGTACATTTCTGATATACATTTGCAATAACACAAACGATTCTCAAGATTCTGACGAGGGAATTACAATCTAATCGAAACAAGATCTCGTAAGATTTCCCTTTTGTTCGCATGTCACGTAGTGGTTGGTAACGAGTTTCCAATTTAGTAAGATACACATTTTAGGCTTACTTTGAGGTCTCTTTTTCTTTGCAAGAGATATCTACACTCTCTTAATTGAATGCAAATCAATCGAGGACGGGAAACAAATTATCCTATCGTGACAGATTCCAGCGTATTAAACTTTCCTTAAAAGACTGTAGGAGGGAAATTGCTTTCAAGTTATAGAACATGTTTCTTTGTCGTTTGCTCCCAGCCAGTAAAATTGTTATTGATCCAAAATTTCCTATTACCAAAGGAACTGTTTCGATGGTTTGCGGAGACAGTCAACTGAGGGAGCTAGTCGCACAACGAGGTACGTATGCGGTCAATATTTTTGGCATCACTCCTGCAGCTATGAGCATGCAGTTTTAGGTGCAAGGGATTTCACAAACCTTCTTTTTCGAAGAATAGGCGCTTAATTGTTCAGATGCTTTTGTTCTGTTGGCCATTTTATCACTTTCCTAGAAGATCGGCCGAAGCTTGTTTTGGCAAATCCACTTACGTGTAATGTCTTAAAGCTTTGAATAATTTTTGACGTTAGCTGATCGGTGAACAATACCATATACGTCACTCTGTTTACCATTCGACACTCGCTGCTCAATATTTGTGATGTCACGGGTGGTCAAAACCACTGTGGGTCAACAGGTAGTCGATAGATTTAACTTAAGACCATGGTATTTAGTTGACCAAGAGATACCCTTGGCTTTGTTTTTCGGCAAATGAACACAAACACCGTTCTTTCGTTTTAATTAGCACGCTTTTGTATGGAGTCCGTGGGTGAGAGCTGAGAGTTGTAAAAACTTAAGACGATGTAGACCTGCTTCGCAATTTTTAGCGCTTTTCTCCTCTCCTATTGTCTTAGTCACCCACTAAATTTCCGTGTAATCTTTCCTGAATTTTTTGTGCCTCTTCTGACGTCACAACCAAATTCTAGTCGTTGCTGATATTGCACAGGAAGTTTCAAACTTAACAAAGGATATGCGTCATAAACGGCTCACAGTGAGGTTCAGTCTGCAATTTTATGTAAATTTACGTTCACCTGTAATATTTTTTTAGCCTATTGTAAAAATTCACCAAACTGAACCGGATGGTGAATTATAATGACATTGTTTTAGTTCATCCAAACAACCTGGTTTGTTTTTCCTAAACTATAATCCTCAAACCAGATGAAAGATATCAACGTTAAAGTTTTAATTTTTTGTTTACTGATAATCTGCTCGAATTGTCTTGTTAAGCCTTTCCAAGTCTTCTTAGAACTTCAATTTATGTGAATAACTTCCTTGATATTGATCGCAGGATAACTTCTCTGAAATTTTGCGAAGTACGGAAATATTTCTTTGTAAATAATAAGTGTTGTTGACACATCATCAAACCAATATTTACACTAGTAAAGTTATTTTTCCTCCTCCTTAGTGAACCAAAATTCCGTTGTTGTTCAAGTTGCTCGAACGGGGTTTGCCGAACACAATGACGCAGCAACTAACGAACTCTTGTTAATACATAAATCATTCTTGAAACATGACAACCGCATTGATATCATGGCTTAAAATTCCTAGATTTCAAAATAAATATTTTCTTGGCAGGCCAGGAGGGTAGTATATCATATATCGAACCACAATTACAGTCTTGTCCACTTCAGCCGGATAATTTCGAGATATTTCGCAACAATATAATCAGCGCTTTTGTAACCGAGAGATTTTGTGCAATTTTAGACTGTTTTTCATCCATCTTTACATTTTTTTACCTTATGTTTGTACCCTAAGAAACCAAAAAGTTTTAAAATAAAACTCTCTCTCCGCCGACAACTAAATTTGTTTAGATCGCGTGACGACTTAGAACTGACGGACTACTAAATGCCTTTTATACGTCAGGAATAAAACTCATAGTTGTTCTCGCACGAAACATATCATGTCAAAACCACATTTGCATCCCTACTGTTAGAAGATAATAATTAACAACCGCTCGAAAGCTTTTCGTCACCAAAAGAAAGGATTAATAGTCCTAGGAGAGATATTTCTAAGTTGGATGATTTAAATGCAAGTATTGATTTCGCCCTCGCTTCATCGTCATTTTCCGCAAATACTGACGGTGAAACTTTCAGAAACTATATTTTACAGTCCATAGAAAATTCTCCATTTTAGTCACACTGGCTGTATGATTCTTACGGAATTTCTAGCCATTTCAGGAAGATTTTTTAGCCGTTACGCGTGCAAGCACCGCTTTCATGTTCGTTGCCATATATTAATTAATGTACACATTACTGGGGAGCTTTTTCGTTGTGTGGACTCCAACAGTCTTCTCAGAAAAGTCATGTGCTTCTTTTCAAGATGATACATTTAGAAAATGAATAATCCGCACGGTGAAAGTAAGCGTACAAACGACATGACCTTACAAACGACAGCTGGCACTCTAGTGAAAATTGCGACCCTTCAAAATTGTTTATAACGAGAAAATGTTACAAATTTTAAATAACTACTTGTTTCGATCAATGAAAGATAATTTTACCTTCTTAGTCTTTGCATAATCAGCAAGTTGTTCGGATGCTTTGTCACGAGTCGTCATTTTTCTTTAGGGGAGATCTTTCGGGCAAAAAGACTCTTACCGCTTTGAGACCTGAAATGAATTGTAAAGTGTTATTTAATGCACCCAAATTGCTGAGTCACATCTAAGAACGCATGCGTAACGCAGAATTTTGATATTGGTTCAGTGTGGACGATATAATTGTCT